CCCAAAAAGAGCCGTTGTCCTTCAGAGAGAGACATTCTACTCCCACGCTCCTCAATAAGACTCCCACATCAGGAGAACATTCCTTTCTCAAGATGTAAATGGGATTCTCTCCTTCCCTCTCTCACAGTGGGAGAATTACATCTTCCCCTCGAGAAACATTTCCCTTCCACTTCTCCCCAAAGGGACACCGAGCTGGCAGGTGAGGGCTGCTGACTCCCCTGGATGCTCCTGGGACATGGAATTGGGTACCCTGGAGCCTGGAGGGACTGGGGCTCAGGGTCGGCGGCCAGCACTTGTCTAGTTCCTGTTTCGTTCCAAGAGCTACTCACCCTCAGAGTGATGCGACAGCGTGAGGAGGCTGACACAGGACGCGCCAATGCCCGAGCCAAAGACGGTGATACGGCGGGGATCACCACCGAAGAAGGCGATATTCTCGCTCACCCAGCGGAGGGCCTGGATTTGGTCAAGGAGCCCATAGTTGCCCTTGGCAGCCTGATCGCCAGTGCTCAGGAAACCTGGATTCAACAAAGGGCACGAGGACAGTGAAGGTGGAGGGATGGAGGATTTGGATGACGGTGACAGTTGGGGGCATGAGGACGGAGGATGAGCATGCAGCGCAGCTCTTTCCACCCAGCTAGCATTAACCATTGCTCCTTTCTGCAAGGACCAGCGCCATCACTATAGGAAGGATCGGCTTCCTACCTCCCACCCATTCTCCAGTTTGGAAGGTGAGGTCTCCAAACTGTTCAAAAGGGATGCCTCCAGCTGGGAGACTTAAACTGCAGGAACTGCAAATGACCAGGACCCAGCATCCTCTGCCCTGATGTACCAGCCGGGACATTACCCTAGCACCTGGCAAGGTAGAGTGGAAAGAGCAGGGACCCTGGAGTCAGTTTGGTTTGAGTCCTGGCTCTACCACTTACTGGCCATGTAGCTTTAGGCAAGTTATTGAGAATCTCTGGGCTCTAGTTTCCTCTTCTGTAAAATGGGGATAAAATACTTCAAAGGGTTGTAACAAGGATAAAATGAACATAAGCATCTCGAATATGATCAGCACATTACACATCTACAGTTACTTCTCGTTCCCCATCCTCCTCTCTCTGGAGGAAGTGAAGATCCCAAGAGGCTACAATTCCTAAGCCTTCCTTGCCCCTCCTGCCCAAGTTCATCCATTTCCACTTCCTTCCAGGGTCTCGGATGCCCCCTTCTCTTCATTCTCACGGCAGGTCCTCACTTCCCCCTCCTCCAAGACCTAATGAATCGGAAACTCTGGGGATGGGGCCCAGCAATCCGTGTGTTTAACAAGCTCTCCAGGTAATTCTGATGCCTGCTAAAGTTGGAAAACCACTGGGTTAGACCATCTTTTTCCTCTAGTGGAGAAATGGGGAAGTCAGTGCAGTGCGGTTACCACAGAAACAGGTCTTCCTGCCCACCCACTGGGATTTGCTGCTGAGGAGACATGTCACCATGGAGACTACCTTCCCACCCACCTGCTGGGATTTGCTGCTGTGGAGACTTGTTGCCATGGCAACTACCTTCCCGCCCACCTGCTGGCTATCCCACAGAGATGTCCTATATTCCCCCCCACCCTGCTTCCATTTTAGTCTGATCTTGCTGCTTCATTTTTTCTCTCTTCCCTGATCCTTAGTCTCCTTGGAAGGCTCTATCTTCTCCTGCCCTAGGCTTTTAGAAAGGTTCTTTCCAAGTGGGTAGCTGTGGTGCTCCTACACATTGGAAACCTATACCTGGGTGAGTATTTTTTGACCCCACAGTTAAAAGGTCATTTGTAGCCCCTGGGATCAACTTTGTGGGAGGCCATGTTTGAGGAGGCTCCCTCAGCTCACAGAGAGTTCTCTGTCGGTCCTGGTAGTCCACGGGCAGAAGCTGACCTTAAACAGACTCAGGCAGGCACAAGACCCCATCACTGTCTTTCTTGAGTCCTTTTGTTTCTAGTTTCTGTAAAAGAGCTCATTTCACCCTCTTCAAGTGTGTTATTAATTTACCTTTGGTGCAATTAAGTATGTAAAGTACTTAGTTATTCCTCCCAGGACCTAGTCACAAGCCCTCTTTAGCCCCAGGTTCCCGATGAGGAAATGAGAAGGAATTAGAGAAAGCCTGAATGAGGATGAACGGAGGAGCTCTTGTTCCTCTAGACAAGAGAACCAGCTTCTCCTTTGCCTGGCTCGTTCACAAGCTGAAGTTGCTCCTGCAAGTCTTAAAGTATGCTGACCAAGATCCATCCCGGCTGTCCAAGCCTTGCGACCCTCCAGCAAAAATCACTATGTGTTTCTCTTAGCCTGCCTGTCCTCTCTCCCTCCTCTCTCCTTCCCCTGTTTTCTCTCTCCCTTTTCTCTTATTTTCGCAATAGCAGACTTGGCTTCAGTCTTTGCCAAAGTATCGTTCAGTGGAACGTGTCAAATACGTCTGTCCTAACCAGCATGAAGAGCCTGCATTTGGATGCAGTAGATTTCTCCAACATGTACCAATTTCCTGGGTTAGAAACAAAGGTCTGAAAGGGCTGGGTGGAGGATTTGACCATCACTCTCTGCTCCCTCAGATCCCACAAACCTCAGGATAAGAGGCACTGAAGCCTGTGGATGATGTCATGCCAAGCATCCTACTACAAGCGTCCTGCTTGAAGTGCTCTATCCAACAGGCTCAGGCGGATGATACAGAAAACGTCGCCGACCACAAGCACGCAAAAACCTGTCAGTCTGGGAGAGCGATCACTCGCTACTAGCTCCCCAGTAACTCAGTCACCCACAGAAACCATGTGAGAATGAGGGCTGAAACACCAAACTCCATAAACTGTTAGAGCAAATCTGAGCCAGTCTCCCTGGGCCCAAGTTTATACTGCAGTGCATGGTAAGCTGCTTGTCAACAGAAGACGGGAATCTGGCACATTGTATCAAAACCAGGTATCTGTGTCACCCAACGCTTGACATTTATCAGGTTTTCAGTTTGCCTGAAGGGTACCTGAGCAAGAATGTAGGATTAAATTCTGAAACCCAGAATAAAACTCGGCAAGCCCCTACTTCCTCAGCCCCAGGGATATCCACGTCCTGTATCCTGCTGGGGTCCCTTTCTTTTGTTGGTCTCAAGCCCAGTGGGGGCTTCTCCGATTATAGCTACCCCTCTGCCTTGGATGGGATCCATGGAATAGCCTGTGACATTCTCCAAGTACATGAGTCACCAAGATGTCTAAAGAAGCACCTTGGAGGAAACCGTCTGCTTGGGCTCAGGGCTCAGAGAAGCTGATGGGAGGGAGGGTGAATGAATGCATATAATTGAGGTCCAAAACTGGCCACCTGTTCTGGGATGTTTTGGGAAACAAAACAACAAAGCCTCAGCTCTACAGCAAAATCCCCAAGATTCAGAGACAGGCCCGTGTTCTAAATCTGGCGCCAAGAGACAAAAACATCTTGAATGTACCCAGAATCCAATCAGCGGCTTATTGATTACATTGTGTTCCAGAGCAGGCACTAAAGGGTACACAGGAAGTGGTGGGGAACTTCTGGCCAAATCTCAGTTTATGGCTCCTTCTGAGGTTTGGGTAATATTAGTTTGATCATTAACTATTTAAGCTCAAAGAATAAAAATCCTACCCCGAGATGTGCTGTTCTGGTTATCCAAATGAGAGGAGGTTATAAGGTGGTGGTGGTGGGGTCTTTTAACCTGAATTTCGTGGATGAGTTTCAGTGGGATCCATGAAATAATTTCTGTAAGTGTGTGTGTGTGTGTGTGTGTGTGTGTGCGTGCGCGCACACACACATGCATTTTTTTGGGGAAGAGTCCATAGCTTTCATCAGAATTTCAAAGGGGTCCAAGACTCCCCAGAAGGTTAAGAACTTCTGATATACAAGCTTAAAGATTAGAGCAATTGAAGGGTTGTGAAGTAATCAGCAAATCAGGATATCATAGGGAGCGCTCGCCAGCAATAATAGCCTTCCGCGAAGCCCACAGCTCCCAACTGACACTTCAAACCTTGAATCTCTCCTCTGTCTCCTTTCCGCCTCCTTTCTGTGTGTCACTCTTATCCTCTTTTCTCTTTCCCGTCCTTTCCTTCTCTTCCTTATTTTCTCCTCTCTTCTCCCCCGATGCTCCACTCTCTCTTTTCTTTCATTCCTACCTGGTCCGATCATTTGGAACTGAAGCATATTCTTAGTATTCCCCGTGCTTTCCATTGATCCTTAGAGACTGGAGCTTTGTGTTGATAATTTTTAAAAGCAACCGAGTTGAATATTTCCTGTCACCCTCATTTAGAAAATAAAGTAACACAGTTACTTCTGGCCTTCAACTACCATGCACTTGTGCCTGTGTATCTGTGTGTGATTACGTTTGTATACGCATTACTCTTCAGGAACTATGCAGCCCAAGCATGTGGGTTTGCAGCCACCTTCATGGTACCATTTTTACTATCAGAGACTCAGATCCCCTTTCTCAACAGGACAGAACAGCTTACAGAACAGAGCCTTGCCATGATGTCTGTGGCAACTCAGAGAGACAGAGGAGCAGTGGCAGAACCATGAAACCCAAAGCCCACTGGACTGTGGAGAGGCCAGGGAGACGCCCTGCATATGTCACACCCAGCATCCAGATGCCGCTGAAGGGAACCCAGGCTCCACTTTTTTCTGGGAATATCATTTCTCTCATCTGAACCCCCAAAAGGTGTCTTGCTATCTCACATAGTATTAAGGGGAAGTCAAGAGAAGATTGCCTTTCCGTGTACGTGGATGCACCCAGAAGTGAAACGCAGCTCTGGGGCCTCTGGGATGCCAACTGCCAAAGCCACATACTCAAAAGCAAATTAAAATAGGGTCCTGTCAGCCAGCAAGCCCTGGAGTAAGCCGTGCCTAATTGCTCGTTCAGCACCCAGGCCTGCAGACCTGAGAAACAGCCCAGACACCCACTGGGACTCAGGACCCCAGCCTTCCGGGCAGGAAGTTGGCTTCTTTGTGTCACTCCAGGGCTATGGGGCCGCGTGTGCCCTCAGAGGCCTGGGTGAGCATCCGAAAGGGAGCAAGGCCGTGTGTGCTTGGTCGCCCTCAAGACCTTGGCCACAGTTAGGCATTAACAGTTACCAAGGAAGGCACAGGGCAGAGGGGCAGCGTAAATCACCAAAATAAGCATGTGGGTGACAGAGTATGTGTGGGGAAGGGGATATGGGTGTGTATCAGGAGGTATTTGGGAAGTAAGTGTGTGTGTGTGGGAGGAAGATGGTGTAATGGGTGGGAGTGTATGGGGATGTATGTGTGGAGAGAGTAGAATAAATGTGCAATGTATGTATGTGGGATATGTAAGTGTGGGGTGTGCATGAGTGTGTATGCGTGTATGGATATGGATGACCAGGTGTGGGGATATGGATGCGTGTATATTCGTGGGGTAGGAATATGTAATATGTATGTATTGGACATATATATGCCAGATGTGTATAGGAAGAGTGTGTGTGTGTATGTGATATGGGTACGTGTATCGGGGCCTGTGGGTGTGTGTATAAGGGGGGATGTGTAAGCGTAGTGCATGGGATGTGTACGTAGATGTGGAAGCAGGGATATGAGGGGTACGTGCGTAGTATCTGTGTACTATGGGCTGGGGAGGTGTGGACGTGCAGGTATGGCTCCCACATGTGTAGGGAGGGGAACGCTGGTTCGTGTTTGTGTAGGGAAGGTGAGGGACATACGTGTGTGTGTGGCTGTTGGAGGAGAGGTGGAAGTGGGGTGTGTAGGGGGACGTGGATCTGCCCGTGTATGTGTGGAAGGAACATTTGTGTACATTTGAGGTATATATATGTGGGGCTTGTGCGCGGATGTGGACGTGCAGGGTGTGGGTCTTTGTGTAGAGTGTATTATGGGGGTAGAGGAAAGCGTGAGCGTGGGGGCACTTGTGGTGTATGTGGGCACAGATGTGGATACAGCGATGCGGAGGGAGAGATACATGGGAACGTGTGTGTGTGTGTGTGTGTACGCGTCCATGGAAGGTGAGAGAAATCTGTGTAGATGTGCGGTGTGGATGTGGAGTGTAGAGAGGCATCTGGGTATGTGGATATGTGCATCAGGGAGACTATACGTGTGCAGTGTGTATGGAGTGGTGGGGGAATGTGCATATATGTGAGGGGGTCTGTAGATGTAGATGTCGGGGTCTGTATGTGTATGGGTATGTATGTGTGCTTGGGGGGGTGAGCGAGAAATAGATGCATGCTGGTGGATGTGGGCAGCGTGGACGGTGGACATGTGAGGGGACGTGGGTGTGTGGATATGTGATTGGCTAGAAGGAGTATCTGTGCATGTGTGGGGTGTTTAGGGATGTGGGGTGGGTGGGTCGGGATGAGGATAGGACACCAGAAAATGAATCGACTCTACAAAACTCAGCCAGGCAAAAGTCTGGAACCAGAGACCTGGCTGGAGACCTAAGAGAAGGTGTGAAGTTTGAATTGAGTTTCCAGTGGCATCTCGACATTCCAGGAACGGGCCTAGGGATGCTGTGGGGAAGCCCCGGGCAGTTGGGTAGGGGCTATGGGATAACAACATTGTGGCCATGGTCATTAGCACCAGCTAGAGAACCAAGGCGGCCTGTTCTCAGCTCCTCAGCTTTCTTTCCTCCCTCCTTGAGAACCCAGGCTTCCTTCTAGGCACCCAGCAGGGAACCATACCTAGCACTCCAACCCGATAGTTGAGGGTGATGACGATGACGTTGCCATAACTGGCCAGGACGCTGCCGTCAATCATGTTGCCTGTCCCTTCCATGTAAGAGCCTCCATGGATGTAGACCATGACAGGCTTAGCGCCACTGTCCCGGATGTCTGCAAGGAGAAGGGGTGAGACACAGGCTGGGTAGGCTGCCCTTCCTCCCCCACCCCCGCCAGCCCTGGGTGGGGGGGTGTGGGCAGCAAAGCTATCCCAGGTGCCAGGACACCACCGCCATCTCTGAGGGCAGGACTCATGGGGCTGTTCAGCCCGGAGCTTGAGCATCAGCCAGAGAAAGTTGGACATCGGTGATGTTTTTAAAGACTCTGGTTTCAAGTGCCTCCCAGTAGAAGGCAGCCAGGCGTTCCTGATACGGCTAGGTCTACAGAGGCCGTGGCTGGGCCCTGGGGGACAGGGGGAGGGAGGAAGAGAAAGGGCAGGTCCCTTAGCTGGATCAGTGAGTCCCTGCCCCGGGCACCCAGGAGTCCTGGGACCTGACATGGCTTTAGAGAGCAGGGGCTGGGGAGCCCTGAAACCCCCAGGACTAGACCAGTTACATGGAAATACGGCCATTGGCAGCAGCTGGCCCCCCAGTGCAGACAGAGACAAGAGGGGCGGGAATAGGGGGTGGCACAGGAAGAGAACAAGGGAGAATGTGGGGACAGGGGAGTGAATGGCAGAGATGGGGTGTGTGTGTTGTGGCGGGGAGAGCCTCACTGACATGGTTTCTCAGCCACGTGCTCGTTTACCCCATTCTCCCCGGGCATCAGGCAGACTTAACTGGAAACACTGGGGATGGGGAAGAGGTGGGGGCAGGACTAAGGATGAGAGAGCCTGCCCCCAGGCAGCTTTAAGATGAAGATGGAGCCTCCGCAGAGGCCACTCAACGAGAGACCTTTAAGCGGCTGCTCCCAAGACCCGAGCAGTGCGGCGACAGGGCTGGGCGGCCACGAGAAGGCTCCCAGCCTGATCACCTCGACCTGAAGCCTCTCGGCCTGTGAGCTGGACCACACTCTGCCGCACCGGCACAGCCCTACCAGCCACCAGTGGGCTCCCCTGAGCTGTGTGGCCCCCAGGCCATGTCTGGGGCGTGGAGGTAGAAGGGAATGCTCTCTGCTGCCGAGCAAACACAACCTGTTTTCCTGAGGAGGAAGGAAGACTGGTTCAACCGTCACCCAAGGATCTTATGCCATCCACTGACCGGGCTGTGGCGTCCTGGCCTCAGCCCGGTGCTTTGGCCCAGTCCTTGTGGCCCTGTCCTGAACCTAATACAGCCCCTGGCCCTGAGGCCATCTCTCTCTTTCTGGGTGAAGGCCAAGGAGGTTCTAGGTGGCGCTGTTCCCCAGGCCCTGTGGTTGTCACTGCCTCACTCCTCAGTTCAGCATCCTGCTGGGCCCCTCCTCCAGGAGCCAGCCTCCCCGCAGAAACACAGGGGCTCCTCGCCATTCCGTTTCCTCTGTGCCTCTCCTCGCCCCCGCCCCCCTCAGTCCTGCTTTCTCTCCACTCTCGCTGCTGCTCAGTAGGGGCAGGTGCCCGTGAACCACAGAAGATGGGGGAGGAAGCTGTCTCTGGGCAGTGGGGACCGGGTCGAGGAGGATGCCCTCCCCATGGCTCTGCTCGTGGTGCCCTGTTCCCGCCAGCCGTGTCCATCACCCTGGAACTCCCAGTGGCCGACCAGGCCAAAGATGGATGAACAGCCCAACGGCCTCATACAGGAACAGAAACACACCAACGGACGGACAGACAGACAGACGGGGCTTCTCCCCATCGAGAGGGGGAGGGGCTCTGTGCCATGCACCAGCCGCCACGCCCTGCAGCCCCCAAATACCTTCATCTTCATCCCCGTCATTATCCGCTAAGTCCTCGCCCTGTTTCTTAGCGCCGGATCCTGGGGACCAGACACGGGGAGACACAACAGCACAGAACAGAGAACAAAACAGAGAGAGAATTCAAAAACAGCATGACTGCAGTGTGGCCCAGCAAGCCAGCTCTGGGCCTGGGCCCAGGACAGGCAGGAGGGATGGCAAGAACTGAGGGAATGGGTGGGCTGAGGCCCAGACCATCAGGATGACAGTGTTGCAAGGCCCCTGCTGTGCTGGCCTCCCTGCGCCTCTCTGTCCCCAACAGCCTGTCTCAACCAACCACCTTCCCAGTTAGGAAGGAGGTAGCAGCAGGTGGGCCAGGGCACAGAGCCAGAGACCCACTCAGGGGAGGGACGTCTCCTGGGTGGAAGGGGCTGCACGTGTGTACACAGGCAGGCTGAGCTGGAGAGCAGAGGCAGGCACCAAAGGTGAGAGGCGGCATCGCCAGCACGTGTAGATACGGATATGAGCTGTTAAGGCAGAGCCAGGGACCCCAGCCCTGAGCTATTCGGGCCCAGTGGGCAGGCTCCAGCTGGGCCTCAGCTGACCCTGATTCCCACAGGAGAAAATGGGAGATGAAGCTTTCCCTCCGGTCTTCCTCACTGGGGCCTGCTCTGGGTAATGGCAAATGGGGTTCCTGCCCACAGGAACCATGCCTGAGAGCAGCAAGCATTGCTCTGAGATTGAAAGAGAGCCAGAGAGGGAGGGAGGGAGAGAAGGAAGGGGAAAAGGAGAAAAGGGACATGAGAGAGAGAGAAAGAGAGAGAGGGGGAGAGAGAGAGAAAAAAACAGAGATAGGAATAATGGTAGCAGCTCCTACCATGTACCGAATGGTTACCATGTGCCAGACACTCTACTTCTGCCTTACTGTCTGATCCTTACACCCCACTGAGGGAGGGACTATCTTTATTCCTGTTTCACTGATGGGGAAACTGAGGTTCAGAGAGGCAAAGTGACTTGCTTAAGGTTGCACAGCTAGGAAGTGCTAGAGGTGAGATCCAAACCCAGGTCTGCTCGATTCCAAAGCCCATGGTCTTTCCACTGCACCATGCCACCTTTCTGGGACGGGGGAAAGGGAAGGGAAAAAATAAGTCAGGAAAGAGGTGGAGCATGGGGTGGGGTGGAGGGGAGGGGAGGGAAGGAGAGAAAAGAAGAGACCCGAGGAGAGAAGAGAGACGTTTAGGGCCTGGGTGAGCTATCCCCAATTCTCCTTCTCATTCTAAGGAGATGAGAAGTTCATCATGAGAACGGCTTTGAGAAAGAGGACCCACCGCCTGGGTGCTTGTCAGTGTGTAGAAACGGAGGTCATTCTGTTGGCACCCCAGGGCTTATCCTCTTGTCTAAGACGTCAGATACTCTCGGCCTGGAGGCAGCAAATAGCCCTCTTTCTCAGCTGGTCTGGGTTCCCTTACAGCTATTAATCACAACAGGAGCCGCCCTCCAATTACAAAATGGCTTTTCAACCAGGGCAAGAGCCCAGCCTGAGGGGCAGAAACTGCCTCCGGCTTCCGAACCTCCCGTGGCTCCTACCGTCTTAACACCTGACGACGACGGTGCTGCCCTCAGAAACCCTGTGGGACATGGGGCGTCATCACCCACACAGCAGACAGCCCCCCGAACGGCAAGGAATCACCCATCCCTAAACATGAATTCCCTCCAACTTGATGGGGGTGGAGGTTGGGGGACAGGGCCTATCTTCCCCAAGAAATCCTTCGCTTCCCCTGGACCCCGACTTAGAAGATGCATCCCGTTTGCCCCCCTCTGGGAATGTCCCTGGGTTGCTGCCTTGTCCCAGCCTCCTCCTTACAGATGCCTTTGCTCCCTCAGCTTAGCACTCGCTGAGCAACTCCTTGCTGCCACGCCTGTCCCCCATCCCCGGGCCAGCTTGACCACCGTCCCCCAGCCCAACACTGTGCTGTGGCAGGAGCCCAGCCAGGCCAGCCCTGCCTGCCCTGCACACATCACAACCCTAACCACCTCTGGGGACGGGTCTCCCCTGAGAGGCAGACTTTTTAAGTCTGTTCCAAATGGCCAACAGGCCCTGGATAGGGAACTCATTTGAGCAGCTAAATGACCAGATGCCCTCTCCCACGCTGTCTGGAACCCACTTCCCAGCTCGGCCTGTGGGGCTTAGCTAAACCAGCTGAGTTTCAATGCTAGGCTAGGAGTTTCCTCAGAGTAGCGATCAGGTCTTCAGTTATTTCTAAATCTTTCCTCCACCTCGTATCCCTCCACGTCCCAACAGCACCTAGCACGTGACCTTGCCCATAGTCAACAATCACGATTGGTAAGTGTTTGAACTTGACTGGAGCGTCCAGTTGGCTCTCTAGCCAAACTCTCAGGACTGGACTGGACTGGACTGCCCTAGGCTCTTACTGGTGCCCTGGGGGATCATTGCTCCTAGGAAATGGTTAATGTCATCGCCTCCCCCTCCGCCACCCTGCACCCAAGTAAGCAAGTAACTAGTAGCAGCAGGTTTAAGAGACCCTCTTCCTGAAATCTTTTATACATTAATGGAATGTTAAAACCAGAATAGTCCCCTACCACCTTCAGATGCAGAAACAGAGGTTCTCAAAGGAAAAGACTTGTCTAAGGTTTCACTGTGAGTTAGCAGCAGAGCTGGGACTCGGTCAGGCTTGTGGCTCCCAGACCCATACTCTTTCTGCGGCACCGCGATGCATCTTCATTCGTGCAAAAACATGTTTACTGATTGCCTTCTGAGTGTGAGGTCCTGGGCTGGGTGTGGGGAGGTGATGTAACGCTTATCCCCAGGGCAGCAGACCTCACTCAAAGCTTCAGTGAGCATCAAAAGTGCAACAGGCAGATCGCCGGGCTCTGCCCGCAGAGACTCTTACTTAGTAGGGGGCACTCAGTCCCAGGAATCCTGACGACCCCACTTGGGGGAACCCCGCCCTATGATTTCAAAGGAAAACAGACTCCAAGCTTGCCAAAGGGTTGTAGGGACCAGGCTGTGCTTTTCCACTTATTCCTTAGTCTTACTGTTTCCAATTCGGTTCAACCCATCCACATTTCACCATTTGTTTCAGAGTAGGGGAGGTGGGAAGGACCAGATGGGAGTTGCCTCGCATGCTACAGTGGAAAGAACACGGCCCTGAGGGTCAAGAGACCCAGGTTATGGTCCAGGTCCTGCCACAGACCAGCGACGGGGCCCTGAGCAGCAGCAAGTCACTCCCCTGGGCCTGTTTCCTCATCTGTAAAATTGGGATACCAATTCCTGCCTCATAAGCTTCCACAGAAGTGGGAGGGGGGGATTTTCTGAGGTAAGTATTCAAGCGCTTTGCAGAAAACATAAAGTGGTATTTGAACAGGAAGAATTATTACACGGGTGGAGGGTGACAAATTCCTCCCGGAAAGAGGGTCAGTTTGCAATTCGGGATCTCGTGCCTCCTTCAGAGTGCACAGTTCCTGGAGACCCCCAAGGTCTGCCACCAGGCTAGCCCGGGTCACTCAGCTAGGCCCTGGCCGGAGGTGGTGGGCGGGGGTTGGGGGGGGGGTGGGCAGGGTTGCTACACTTGGCTACAGTTTGGTCTAAGCTCCACGGCTGGGGAGTTGACTCTCGACTTTCAATCCGGGAAAGAGCACGGAAGGATGAGCTGGTGGCTCCCTCACCAGGCAAAGGTCAGAGCCTCTGGCTCCATCTTGGCGGCTTAGAGTTTCTCCTGAGGTGTCCCAGAGGGAACCACTGGCTCTGTCTTTGGCACACACTTTAGGGTGGACTTTGGGGCTGGGAAGGTTGGAAGAAATGGGGTTGCTGCTTCTGCTCTGGACCTGTCTTAGGCCACCAGAGCCTCCCTGAAGAGCAGCCGGGGCCCTCGGATGAGATGGAGCTTATGCTTGCTCACCGACCGCCCCCTGAGCCTGGGCTACTTGAAGGAAGGCTGGGTCCTCGGGGGCAAGGGCAGGTGGGCAGGCAGCCCTCCCTCTCTCTCTCTCTCCCTCCCCGCCGGCTCGCTACCTACCTCCTTTCCTACAAATTTTCTTGTTGGGCTTTCGGGCGCATTCCTTGGAAATCCGCTTTACTGTAAAATGAATAAAAAACTAAAAAATAACAGGAGGCCTCTGCCCAGGGGCATGCACCCGCACCCCCCCAGGCCCCAAGAGCTGCTCTGCAGGCGGCACGTGGCAGAGAGCCTGTCCCACCATCTCCTTGCTTCTGTCACTTACCTTAGTGTGACCCCCGCGGGAGGAGGCATCAGCTAGTGAAAGAGGAGGCACCTAAGCACTGCCCACCAGGCTTGCCCCCTGCCCCCCTCACACACCCAGTTCCCTTGGCCACACACACCTACCACCTCTCCGAGCAGGTGGAATGGCAACAGGGGGGCCCGGTGGCGCCAGCATCCTCCCGCGGGCAGCTGCCAGCAGTGACCCATACTCCCCCAGGGAACCCCCATCCACCACCTGGCCCTAGACCTGTCAAAGCTCTCAGGCCTGGCCAGGCCCCTCCTGGTAACAGTGTCACTCACACATGGGAGCTCAGACAATGCTGGGAGAGGAAAGAACAGGGAGGAGGAAGGGAGAGGCCAAGCAGAGTGATGGTTAGAAGCATTTTCACAGACAGACAGATGCATGCAGCAGGGCACACCACCACATGCCAGCCACAAACACAGCGGGGCGGGTGGGAGGCAAGGAGGGCACAGTGCCTGGCCGCACTCACCATCCTCCGTGGGCACATAGACGTTCAGGTAGAGGCAGTCTTCGTTGGGCTCCTGAATGTAAGTAGCGACGATATCCAAGTTGGCCGTGAACCAGACAGGGAGCATGACTTCGGGCACAGCTGTGTGGATGTTCTGGGGGCACACTGGGGGAAAGTGTGTGGCGTTCCGGATGCCCGACCAGGATGGGGGTGGTTCAGGGGGCAGGAAACGTTTCTCGCCGATGGGGGGGGCTGCGTAGGGCACCCCAAGGTATTGGTCCACAGGCCCCAGGATCTCACTGGGCAATGGTACCCGGGCACCCCTTAGCTTCCCAAAGTGAGTATTGACTGTGGGTGCTGGGGCCTGGGTACTGGCCCTCAGCACCAAGCTCAGGAACCACAGGGTGAGGCACAGGCTCCGGCCAACTGTGGGCTTGGGGCTCAGGGACAGCGAGGGCAGGCCAAGCCGCAGCCACATGTTCCGGGCCGGGGGACTGGCAGGAAAGGCAGACTCCGGGGTCACAGCATCAGCCCAATAGGCAGCCCCTTCATGGCCACACTGACTTGAACCTCAAAACTGAGCTCTCGAGGGACACCTACAGGTGCCCGGCAATGTAGAGAGCAGGTCTTCTGAGCACCACAGCTTCAGAAAGGGGACTCCCTCAGGGCCAGACAGGCCTGTGGAAAGAGGGAAGTATGCGTCATCCAAGATGGTCGCGGAGGGCTATGGAGTGGGTCTTTGGGGCCCTGCTGCGCTTGGGCTACTCTCCTACAGTTAGGAGAGGTTTCCTATGCCCGGGGTTCCAGGGACCCTCAGACGATCTCCACTGCCAGTCAGAGCCATTTGCTGTGTCCGGGCCATGGTTGGAAAAGCCAAGGGGGTCGACAGATTGACAGTTGTTGCCACTGCAAGTTGCCAGTCCCCGACTTCAACTCCTCAGCCAATGGAGCTCATCGGGGTCAGCTGGAACCAGAGTAGCATATGGTAGCAGGCGATGGGAGAACAGGAAATGGAGCTGGGCACGCTGCGTGGACACTGAGCTCCTAGCCCCCCAAGACCCATGACCCCACACAGGGACCTCAACCTCAGGAGACAGTAGGACTGTGAACCTCACTCCGGGACTAAGGCAGAAGAAGGGAACACAGTAGATAGGCAAAGGGGCCCCCAGAGAGACCCCGTCTCCCTCTGGCAGGGCAGGGGGCAGGACAGCCATTCACCAGAGTCCCCAGACCCTCCTGTACATTTCTCAAAGCCCTCACTGCTCCCACATCCTTAAGCCTTGGTCCTTTCTGTCAGCTATCTCTAATTCACATGGGGTGCCAGAGACTGAGGCAGAAAGCGTTCTGCCTAGCACCCTAGGCATTGTTGATGCTCAGCCAGTGTAAAATAAACAGCAGACTGCGGGGGACACACACTCAGAGACTCATAGAAATAAACTCACAAACACTCAAAGAGGGAGTGAGAGAGCAAGCCAGGACCACAGACACCGTGATGTTCACTCACAGAGACATACATTCCAAACCCACAGAGATCGCCTCATATAGTCTCACATTCTGAGACAGAGAGCTTCACAGAGCCAGAGACTCACAGAGAGATACATTCAGAGACACACGCAGAGACTTACTGAAACATAATCACACACACATCGCATAGGTAAATATCCAGAGACACATGCAGCATAATGGTGACACATAGGTGGAGACAGGAACAGAAACAGCAACACACTCGAGGCACACAGGCCTTCTGACAAAACAGTTGTACAGTCAACATATATACACAGGCACACACAGACACTTCCGCATGGACACACACACACACACACACAATTTAGTTTCCCCCTATTTCTCCCGCCTTCCAAGATTGTGGGCCTGCTCCTTTAAGAACTGGCTGAAGGGGTGGGGGGAGGGAGATTGGGAACGCCCGGCAATCGGCCGCCAAGAGAAGGGAATGAGAATGTGTGTGTGTGTGTGTGTGTGTGTCCGTGTGTGTGGGGGGGGAGAGGGAGAGAGAGGGAAAGAGAAGAAGAAAGAGGAGGAGGAGGGAGGGCGGGCAAAGCGACTAAAGGGGTGGGGGCTCAGAGGAAAAGGGGAGCAAAGTATGGGTGGTTAGATCCCAGACGCTGCCCAGAATGCACCCGGGTGGAGGGGAGGAGGGGACGGGGAAGGAAGGGGTAAGAGTAGGGAGGTGGGGCAGGAGGGAGTGTGAGTGTGTGTGTGTGTGTGTGTGTGTGTGTGTGTGTGTATTGGGGGGGGATAGTCCGCAGCTGAGTTCACACAATCCCCCCATTCACTGTCTCCATGGCAACTCCGGGGCACAGACCGCTCATTCACACGGCTTCCCCGCCAGCAACCCCCCCCCCCCACACACATCATTAACCCCCTCGGTGCCGCCCCTCCCCGCAAATTCCATTAACCCTTTAGGGATGCCTCCCTCTCCAGTAACCCTTCAGCACCAAATGCCATTCTCCTTTGAGTCAATTTCCTGCAGCCCCTCCCCCCGTGAACACCTAGACAAATCGACCGACCCCCAAACGCCCTTTGTACCCTAGGACCCACTGTGAGTCTTCAAGGCCAAGATCTCCATCCTGGTCCAACTTGCAATTTGGGAGAAGACAAGGGGAGGCGGCAATGCCGGGGATTAGAATGGCATCTGGGGGTACTTTCTGGGCTGGAGCAGTATTGGGCTAGGGGCATGGGCATTGTGCAGGAATGGACTGGTGTCAAGAACTGCAGTATTGGGGGCTATGCGGGTTCGGAATGGTATTGGGGGACGGAGCTGCATTGGAATGGGGGAGGATAGGATAAAGGCCTCCATTGGGGGGGGGCTGCAGAGAGTGGGGGAGGGAGCCTGGCTGTGAGATGCTATGATGGAAGAGAGATGGGGCTGCACTGCGGGGGAGGGGGGACTGGCAATGTACTATACAGGAATGGGGCTGGGGGCCTTCAGGAGGGATATTTTGATGAGCATGCGGGCCGGGCTGTGGAAATAGAGGGACCATGGGCGGGAGGATGATAAGGGTGCGGGATTCAGGGAGGAGGTGGAGGAGAAAAGCAGGGGAGGATTGGGGGGTCAGGGGTGCTGATGGAGAACGTGGGGTTGAGATGGATGGGGAGCACTGGCTGGGAAGTGGAGCACCCCAGGATTGGGGGGGGGATAGGATCAGGGCAAGGTATGGGCAGCTAGAGGATGAGAGACCGGGGCAGGCGGCCTCACCTGTTCCCCGGGCTGTTGCGAGCGACTGAACCGGGCCACGGACCACCCATATCGCCTCCAGGCCAAGGGCTCCGCACCCGAATCCCCGAGATCTGCTCTCCGGCAGCCTGGCTGCTGTGCCCGCGCACCGAGGGGGCGCGCTGCGCGTGCCCGGACACGGGGGGGCGCGGTCCCTGCCATTAACTCCTTTTGTGCCAGAGATGGCTCAAGTCCTGGGGCATGGCCCAATTCCTCCCAGGCTCAAGCACGCTCTCCTCAAGCTCTCTCCCCACCCTCTCTCTCTCACACCCCTCAAGTCACAGTCAGGTGATCTTCCGGGGGAGCTAGTCCAAACTTAACCTGCAAAGCTTGAGACCTTGAAACAAAGGGAGAAACTGAGGCACTGCCTGCAGGAGTCCCCAGTCACACTCCACGAAGACCCACCTCCACCTCACTTGGCATCCCTCACCTCTCCTCAGCACCAGCACCACTCAAGCAGCAACCAGGAGGTGTGGGGGGGGGGAGGGGCACTTTGCCCTCATCCTGTCACTTTCCCAAAGGTCAATGCTGTTCCTTTCTGCTGGGGCATGTCACACTCCGGCTGTCAGCGTGCCAGTTGTCGGACCATTTCAGTCTCTCTCCTCCAGATCTGGCTGTCTTTGTGTCTTGTGTTTCTGTGTGTGGTGCACCTGTCCAGTTTCAGTAGCCCCCCACCCCAAGCCCCTCTGAGTGTCCCTTATCCCAGCAAAGCCTCTACCCCTATAGCGCCTCAGAATGTTTCCGTCAGGATAGGACAGGGCAGAAGAAAGCTTTAATCATGTGCAACTTTACCCTGTCGGGGAGTTCCACTCCTTGTGTACACAACTCTTAAAACTTGGTAAGTCCCATCTGAGCAAGGGCTTCATGGACCTCAAAGAGGGAATTTTTTTTTTTTTTTTTGTAACTTGGGTATCGACTGGTGCTCCTGGTTTTACCAGCACACTTGACACTTCCCAGTAATAGAGTGCAACTACGACCTGGAGGGTATCCTGAAGTTGTCAGATCATCTGGTATCACCCACCCATGAGGCTGGGGCCAGCGCTCTTCCAGCTCCAGCCTGGGCATACCAGAAGACTCCACGGTAGTAAACCAGTTGGCTCTACTGGATAGCCTTAGATCTAGGGCCCCAAACCTGAAGGCAAGGGGGCTGAGAATGGCCCCACTGCAGTTCCAAACGTGACCCTGGAGCAACAGTTTTGAGTTTTCTCTACTGTAAAATGGGAGTGAGCAGGTCACACTGGGTAACTGCCAAGGTGGGTCGTGTGAAAACAAGCAGTTCCAGCAACAGAGCAGAGAGAGAAAAGGGTGCTTCCTTTTGCTGGTTTCTCTTCCTCCTAGAACCATACTGTCCTTCCACCACCTATGTGGTGGCGACACTTGCCAATGGAGGGCAATGTTTCATCCCAGAAATGTGACTCAGGGAAGTTCTCTATCTAGGATATCACTTGGAACGTTAGGGGGACCACAGAAGGTGGCAAAAAGGGTAAGCAGTGTCTGTCACCCCCCACCCCGAAGCTTGTTCAAGACCCAGCATGTGGGATGGGTGGAAGGAGAATCAGGTTCCAGTGACTTTTCCTCTGGCCCAGCGGCCCCCCACCAATCCCAGCGGTGTATCCTCCCATGGAGACAAACTATACAGAAGCCGCACCATCTAGCTGAGAAGGTGAACCGCCCTTACTGAGAGACTAAGGCCCCAACCCTTAACACGTTGCCAGGTTGGAGAAAAGAGAGGGTAGTAAGCCAATTAGAATTCAGAAATTTAGGGGGTGGAAGGTAAACAGGGGAGATGATCTGAACAGAATGAAGGTGCTGACTTGCTGGTCCGGCCCGCACCCTTCCGAGAGCCCGCCCTTCCCGGACATGCAGACTCACACACTCCCTTTGCAAAGAAGCTCTGTGTATTGGGTGCAACAGCTCTGGGGTCTCTATATAAATAATATACAAAACCCAACAGCTCAATGCCTCACATTAACAAAAATACTAAAAACTCATTAAAAATGGAGCCTGAGGGAAGAGCCCCAACCACTACTGGTGCTAGCCCAGGAAGGGGACTGGGAATTAAGAGGAAAGGGTGGGGCCCCATCCAGTGCACAAGCAGTTCTTCCAGGTGGCTCAGTAGCGTCCAAATATGTTGGTACTGGGCTGTGGCTGGGTATCTGTGAAAAACCAGAGATTATCAGGGGTGGGAGGCCGAGCAGAGGTGGCGGCGGTCTGCATTGAGGAGAGCCATTCAGGCGCCGAGGGAAGGGATGGAAGGCAACGCTTCCCCTTACAACCGGGGCCTGAAGCAATCACCTCAGCTACTTTGGCCTTCCCCGCCCCGCCGGCCCCCCAGTTATTCTGTGGGGCTCTCCTTGGGAAGAAAGGCGGGCTTACTGGAGAGCTGTTGTTGGAGCTGCCGGACCAAAGCTGCTGTCTGCTGTTGTTGCTGGGTCTGCTGAAGCCCCTGGCGCTGGAACTGAGGTGAAAATGGGAAGGGGAAGACTGAACTCGAACCTTCCCCTTCCTTCCCCGTCCTCATGTCCCCAGCTCTCGGAGGAGGGCCCTGCCTTGCCTCCCGCCTCGCCATGGCTGCACACTGTCCCCAGCCTGGGCCGCTGTCCCAGAGCCCGGGGCTGGAGTCCAGCAGCTACCTGGGGCTGGGACTGGGGCTGGGGCTGGGGAGGAGCTGCCTGCTGCTGCTGCTGCTGCTGCTGCTGCTGCTGCTGCTGCTGCTGCTGTTGCTGCTGCTGCTGCTGCTGCTGCTGCTGCTGCTGCTGCTGCTGCTGCTGTGAAGACAGAAGAGATCTGTCTAAGGAGAGCGAGTGGCTGAACCTCAGTGGTGGAGGGATGGGGATGGGGGAAGAAGCACAGGGTGGGAACTCCGGGTCCGCTGCCCTCCCCGCTCGGAGAGCTGCAGAGAAAATCAAATGTGGAGCGCCAAGCAGATGACCCCCAACTCTCTCCCACCAGGACCCCCGGAAAAAGGGGGAGGGAAGGAACTGGCTTCTTAAGCCCCCACTACGTGCCAGCTGCCCTGCCGGAGTACGCCCTTACACTGCCTCATTCAGTGCTGAAAACCACCTGGGAGAGCCTGTGCCTCTCCTCCCCCTCCTCCTCTCCCACTCCCAGTCCCCTTCGTCCTCCTCCCCCTCCTCCTCGGGCTCCCAGGTCCCAGACGAACATCCTAGGGCCTTACCCGCAGGATCTGCTGCTGCTGCTGCTGCCGGATGTGGTACTGTTGCTGCTGCTGCTGCTGCTGCTGCTGCTGCTGCTGTTGCTGCTGCTGCTGCTGCTGCTGCTGCTGCTGCTGCTGCTGCTGCTCAGGCAGGATGGAAGCCGACCGGACGCCAGCCTGGACACCCTGGGCGCCCAGTGGGGTCATAGTGCCTATCATGGGTGTCTGCTGCAGTGTCTGGTGGGAAAACCTACAAAGACAAGGAGGCGCAGAGATCAAGGCACGGGCTGTGGGAGACGGGGGTGCAGATGAGCCCCAGGTCCCTGACCCCAAAGAAACGTCAACAGGCCATTTCATCCACTCCTCCTGTCACCAACCAGAAGAGCCTTTTTGGCTTCTGACAGATTTCTAGGTTGGGGAATGAGGGGCAAAGACAACACCCCATTTTAGTGTCTCCTAACCTTCGTGGTTAGGAATTTTTCAATTCTGTTGTAGCTGGTTTTCTCTTATGAAAATGAAACACAGTCTCAGCACAAGCTAGGCATTCCATAGACACCACTGAGGTGGTTCTGCATATCACTGTTGTTGGTCCCCAGTAACACGTCAGGGTCTTGAAGACTGTTGTGTTCTATTGCTCCTTACACCTTTCTGACCCCAACCTGTACTTCGCTGCAACAGGCTACTGGCTGGGCCCGTCTCAAGTCTTCTGTCACCTTCCGTACGCATCCTCTCCATGAATTCCACGTTAATCTCTCAACACGCCCAAATCATCACATCACTTTCCTGATCAAAAGAGTACTTTCTGGGGACTTCCCTGGTGGTGCAGTGGTTAAGAATCCGCCTGCCAATGCAGGGATCACGGGTTCGATTCCTGGTCCGGGAAGATCCCACAGGCCGCGAAGCAACTAAGCCCGTGCGCCACAACTACCGAGCCTGCGCTCTAGAGCCCACGAGCCACAACTGCTGAGCCTATGTGCCGCAACTCCTGAAGCCAGCATGCCTAGAGTCCGTGCTCTGCAACAAGAGAAGCCACTGCAATGAGAAGCCCCCGCACCGCAACGAAGAGTAGCCCCCGCTCGCCGCAACTAGAAAAGCCCGCGCACAGCAACAAAGACCCAACGCAGCCAAAAATAAATAAAATATAAATAAATTTGTTAAAAAAAGAGAGTGCTTTCTGGGATTGTGTCTCAATCCCTCACCGAACGTTCAAGGCTCTCTCTCAACCTGCACACTCCCAGCCTATCCCTACTCCTTCCCTGGCACATGTCTTACATTCCAGCCAAGCTCTTCTCCTTCCTGTCCTCCCAGCCACCCTACTCACTCGGGTCCCCATGTCTTTGTTCATGCTACGTCCTCTACCTGGGATCCCCCTCCTTCTCCTCCTCCCCGCAAATCCAAATCACAGCTATGCTTCAAAGGCCAACTCAAGTCTGACCTCCTTCACGGAACTTTCTCTGATGACTCAGGCCCACGGTGATATCATCCCGCACTCTTCCTGAATTCCCACTTACTTCACGGCACCCAACTGCACAGCTGATTATATCTTTCAACACTGTGTTCCCTAAGTGTTCTTCTGAGTAAGTCTCCTCTCCCCAGGTATAGTAGAAATTCTCTGTGGTGAGGGACTTTGTATTTTTTTTCAAATAGCTTTCCTCACCCCACCTGGTCCTAGCATAGTGCTGGCCACACAGCGGGCCTAAGGCACGTCTAAGTAAGGGACTTTTCTTCTGGTCCACCCTGCAATGTTCTCAACCCTAAGCTGCAGAGCCTCAAGCCATGACTCCAAAGTCTTAACTAAGGCCTGACTGACGTTCAGCATGGTGGGAGAATGTGTTCGCTGGTCCATTCCAGCACTAAACTGCTCTAATAGTGGCTGGATGACTCCTTACCACACACTGCATCTATGAACCCCCGATCTTTCCTTTTCATAGTCATATATAAATGATTTCCCCTCTTTGGTCCTCGAAGAAATGTTGGGAAGCAGGTGTGAGAACACTGGCCGCCAGGGTCCCTTCCAGCTCCGGCATTTTGTGGCGACAGGCCAGGTGGCCAGATAAGTGTTCTTGATGCCTCCAAAAGCTCTGACTAGTCCCATCACCTCCAGGCCCAGGTTTTCCCAAATTGAAAGCCTCAGTGTGTCTTCACGACCCCTGGCTCCCTTGGGTACCTTTGAGTAGAGGTCAGCCCGTGTCCGTAGGTTGGGGCCTGCTGGTGCACATAGCCACTGGGCCGCTGCTGCAGATGGCGGGTAGGATCTACAAGAGTAGGATTGGTAGAAGAGTGGGTGCTCTGATAAGGCTGGCTGGAGTAGCTGGGGGGCACCATGGTACCTGCGGGGCCTGTGTGTTGCTGCAATCCCACATGAGAAACGTAAGGAGTATAGCCCTGGAGGGAAGGAAGAGAGACGGAGTCAGGGCCAAGACTGTGCAGCGCAGCCTGCCTCAAGCTCCCTGATTCTCACCATCTCGAGCCCTTACCTGGGAGGTCTGCAAGCCGTAGGAAGAGCTGGGAGTCATCTGATGGACAGATGACTGTCCCAACATCCCCTGACTCTGCTAGAGGGAAAAAGGAGACAAACTCAAACTCAGGAAGGGCTTTCTGCCACCTCGTTTCTTGTATCTCCTACTCTGTGTGTCCTTGTGAAGATCCCAATCCCTGTGACCCTCAAAAGCCCCTCTCCCTGACGGCCCTCCCTACGGCCCCTCTCACTATCTTTGCCTGGAGCTGTTGGCGAAGGCGCTGTCCCTGGGGCACCGCAGGCTGCTGCTGTCGGTACACAGACGTCTTGTAGGAGGGTTCCAGTCCCATGACGCCAGTCATGGTGGTGGGCAGCACTCCAGGGTAAGGTGGTCGGGTCGGCAGCTTCTGCATCGGTAACCGCACAGGGCGGTACGGGTCCACACGGGGGCCACCTGGAAAGGGGAGCAGGCTGACCTCTTTAGGCTCTTCGTCCCTCTGCGCCCTGCTCAGCGCCCCGGGCATCCACAGCTCCTGGGAGGAGTGGCATCGCCCCTCAGGCGGAAGGCATGTTCGGGTCAGTCCCTCGTGCCTAGTAGCTGGCACTCACCTGCCGGCAGTGGCTGGTTCTGGGTGTAGAGGCCTATGGAGCCCTGCCTGTAGCTAAGGTGGGATATGGAGCCAGGGTTGGTGTGGTGCAGGAGGTCCGGAGGCACTGTCACTCCATAGGGGCCACTCCGGCCTGGGCCCATTCCATAGTCCTGTGTGAACGGCACAGGAGGAAGGGGAGAGGGCTGGGGTCAGGTGGGGTAGGAGGGGGGAACAGGAGCTGGATGTACGTGGTTCCCTGTTCTAATTCTAAAGGTACCCCTTCCCCAGATGCCCCCAGCCCTCCCACAAACCAGTCGCTCGACAGCATCCGGAAGAGAGAGGGGCTGGGGAAGGGGCATGACGGGGCTGTGGCGAGGTGGCAGCGGCGCTCACCTCTGTCTTGGCGGCCGGCTGGCTGCGTTTCTTGCCCTTGGTGGACTTCTTCTTGCGTTCCTCAGTGCTGGGGGGAGCGGCCCCAGGTTTGTCAGTTTTGGGGGGCTCTGGAGCCTTTTTCTCGGGCTCCAGCAGGGCGGGGGCTGGGGGCTCCTCATCTTCCGGCGGCAGCGGC